CACCTGTGACCGGCATCTTCAGAGTGCAGGAGCACAGACAGGAGCAGTTCTCTCTGTCCCCCCAGAGACCTCCAGAACACGGCCACACAGCCCGGAAGACCCACACCAGCCATCGTATACCGGCCGTGAAAGCCTTCGACAATACCAGAAAATTTTGTATTCAATTGCAAAGCTAAATCATATTTCAGTGCTAAGAAAATAAACTTCAACAAGCTTTGGGCTTGCACAGTACCTGCATCTGGTGAGAAACAAGAAGCACTTCTTTCTATTTACAGCTAACCATGTCATTATGTTTGTACTGGAACAAACTATGGTTAGTAGTTGGGTTGTTTGGCCAAAACATAGTTTAAATGATCAAGAACAAAGCATTAAAATGAAATGAAAAGAGGCTTCCAATCTCTTTCTTGTTACTGTGCCAGTGAAGAGAGAAGGGAGAGTGTACAACTTAAGGCTTACCCAAGATCATTCACTATGTCTGAAGGAAGCTCATGAAGTTTTCTGAAACCTTAAAATGCAGTATAGTACTATGTTCTCTTCCTAAACAATTCTTCATTTGTTTAGACTTAAATTTAGGATAATTTCTTTATTGATTATTATGGTACTTATTGGCTGGTTGTTTCCCTTTCCAAGGTGGAATCAGAGTAGATTTTGGTAAACTGAAATAAGTTCAGCTCAATGGAATATGAAGCAGAAATTCTGTAGCCCCACTCAAAATCTGTCTTGGAGAATGCATTAAATCCATTGTACAAATGACATTTGCTCTAGGAAGCTTGAATTCCACCCTCTGTCTCATTTGGAAACTATTTTTTTTTAATCCCATTTTTCATTAAAGAAGATTAGAACCATCTGGGTGAACTCCCCTTCTCCCCCCATAACTGAGTGATGTCTCTTAGGCTCAAACAGTATGACTTGTCTGTGGCTATTCTGTCAGCATCATAGCTAAATAGGGATTTGAACCCTCATTTCCTATCCTCAGCCATCACTCTACCTGATCTGCAACATCATTTCAAGTTATCGTTCCTTTATTTTCCTCAATCTTGTTCTCAGGATCTTTAATACAATGGCATAACTCCTATACTATTTTTTAGAAATCATCTTCATTTTAAAGTTTCTACTCTTTCTATTTTCTGCATGTAATCAGTTACTTGTCAATACTACTCCATCATTTTTATTCATTTATCATTGTTATTTCTAAGTTTTTATTTCAACTTTACATCATTCCACCTTCTTAGGACTGTTACACTTTCTTGTGTCTTTTTATTGGAAGATACTGGTTTATTCTCTTATTTTTCCAGTTCAACTACTGTCATTCTTCTTTTTGAATTATCTTTTTCAATCATCTTCTTTTCTCTTCCTCTGCTGCTCACCTCGTTTTTTTTTCTAGATCTCCCCCTTTAGCCATCAGCTTTTCTCATTAGAACCAATTTGTTGATCCTTGCATTTCTTTATTTTTTCCCCTATCTTCCCATACACTTTTAGCTGATATTTTCCTCTTGGCCAACCTAAGAACTTAAAAATATTTTCCCCATTTTCTGCCTCTGTTCTTTTTTCTTTTTTCCTCTTTCTAAACCCATTGTCTAAAATTCACTGAGTCCTGATATTTGTATATATATTTTTGCAACTAAGTTTCTGATCTCTAACCATTTGCTTTTTTTCATCATGGTGATCTCGTTTTATTCAGATTATAAACCTGCAGCCAGAGTATAGATATATATACACAGACAGGGCACCTAGTCTTGAAATGCTTTATAAATAACAAGAATTACTATATTATTAAAATAAAAGATAAAAAATTGTGTACCTATGATAAATAAGGATCCTGTCTTTTATAAAATGAAGTATCTTGTCAAAATACTCCATGTATCTCATGTTAAAAACCTGGCCCCTGTAGATGCAAACATTTTTAAAAATTGATATTAAAGAGACAGTTAGCATTCATACATGATTAATTAATGGACATGCACAGTTTTTATATATGACACTCGATTGTGAACTGCTCCCAAGACATTTTTTTTCAATACCTACTTGCCATGAAACCTGGAGTATATGAATAGAGTATTCTGAGCACATTACAAAATTTACTTTTAGGTTATTCTTAGTTATTACCACATATGAATCAAGTGTGTACAGTAATACGGCAAGAGGAGAAAATTATGAACAATCATATTATAAATTATCAAATTCATAATATGAATGTAAATTTATTCTTCAAGTATGTTAAATTTGTAATATAAATGCAAGTTATGACATAATTAAATTAATAGTATTTAATTTATAAGAGAAGTCTCTTTTGAGATGACTTTGACTTCTAGGTAACGTATTTTTAATAACATAGTGTTTGAGTTCTAAATAGTGTGAACAACATTAAGCTACTTAATCTCTGAACAGTTTTCAAGTTACAGTTAGACAGACTGTCTAAACCAATCCAGTTCACCTAATAAAATCCCTTTGGTTGGCAGGTATGATGGAATGTGAGGGTGGCCTTGGAAGACGGGGGAAAGAGATGCTACCTAAGGAACAATCAGATAAAAGAGAAAGGAGTCTACAACAGAGTAACAGGCAAAAAAAGAAACTTAGGATAGGCCTGCCTAATTACTCAGCCGGTAAATAAGGAGGGCAGGAGATTTGTGCTTTCAGACTTGCAGGATTCTGTTAATGTAGCCTTACAAAAAAGTAGAATTAGTTTATGTAGTCTTGTTTCCTATCTGGTTTACCTGGGAGGGCTGACAGCAGGTCCCAATAGAAGAGAATTAGTGATCAACAGGTCACTAACTGGAGTTCAACCAAGATGCTTTACAGATGACTGAAAGATTAATTGGCCAAAAAAAAAACAAAAACCCAACCCAAGCCTCACAAGGCGTTTATTTATTTATTTATTTATTTACTTGCGTGCTTACTTACTGAATGGTTAGGCTATCCCATTCCAGGTGACTCTGGACAGCTTTCCAAAGTAAAACAAAATATCGTACAAAACAATCACAGCAATAAAAACATTTAGGGAGCAAAATCCTTCCATCTATATTCTTTCTAACTTATAGGCCAAGCCATGAGTCATCTACACCAAGTCAGGTTTTTAAAGAATGCTTAAAGCTGGGCAAGGTGGGAGCCATGAGGATCTCTGGGAGGATATTATTCAAAAGGGCAGATGCCATGATTGAGAAAGAGAAGGCCCACCTCCAGGTCCCACTAGAGATATTGCTTAATCAAGGGAATTCAAAACAAGCCTGTCAGAACACACAGGATGGACAGATACTGCGGGAGAAAGATGGTCCTTCAGACAGCTAGGTCCTATGCCACACAAGGTTTTATAGATAATAACTAGCACCTTGAACTGCATCTGGAAACAAATGGGCAACCTGCACAGCTCACATAGTAGGGGTGTTACATGAGCACAGTGAGGCTTGCCCATCACTGCTCATGCAGTCACATTCTGGACCAGCTGTAGCTTCTGAGTGATTATCAATGGCAGCCCCACGTGGATGCCCATTCCAATAGTCCAACTGCAAAGTAACCAAGGCATGAGTGACCATGAAAAGGGTCTCTCGATCTAGGAACAAGTGCAACTAGCACAGAAGCTACACCTGTGCAAAGGCCTTTTGGGCTACAGCTTCTACCTGCTCCTTGAGCAGAAACTGAGAGTCCAGGAAGACCCCCAGATTGCATACCAGTCCCAAGGGGGATTTCAGTCCTTTGAGGTTGTCCAAATCAGGAAACAGGCTCCACAAGAACTATACTTTATTGAATTAGGCTATAGTAACAGATTCTTGCAGGTCTGATTGCATTTTCCCTTCCCTCCATCTTATACACAAGGGAGTCAGGAAGAAATAAGTTTATGTGTCTTCCTAATACTTTTTATTTTCCCAGGGTTCAAAGCATGCTTCTGCACATTTTGTTTTAACTTTCTGAATAGTTTCAGCAAGGTCATCTCAAGGTAAATCTCCCTACAGAGGCAGTGCCACTCCACTCAGGACCAAAGATGAAAGGTGCCCAGCATCAGGAGGGCTGAACAGCATCATAAAACCAGATTAAAATTATAGACTATCAAGATAGAAACATTTTACGTTACTCTATCAAACAAAATTCGTTTGGACCATCCGTAAGCAATACTGCCACACAGTCATGGGAAGCCAGATAGTTTTTGTACTAGGTGGATTGCACTTACAGAGCCCATATGATGTCTGTCATCCTTCAAACAACTCCCCAAAATAGATAAAGTTAGGGAAAACACATATTTCTCATTCTAGGAGAAATAAAAAGTTTGCCAGCCTATGCATATAAACCTCAGCTCAAACACCTGTAATTGACAATAGTATTACCATGTACTTTCCTGCACTTCTGCACTCCAACATGGAATCCTGTTTTGTTCTGGAGGAGAAGTGGGGACATACAACAATGACAAACTATTCTTAGATGGTGAGGACTGTGTTGAAGCATTATTTTGTAAAGGCACTATTAATATTTTAGGAGCTACTCCAGGTTTCTGTATAGGAAAAACAACAACCTCAGTTGGGAGCAGAAGACACTTTTGAAAGATATGAGGATTATTTATTTGACTCCAGATTAACATTGTTATGTATCTCTTGATCCTCTGGAGAAAGAAAGGGGCTATATTTTGTTTTACAATATATTAAAATATAAAATACAGTGAAAGAAAAATGTGTAAGGGAAATTTAAAAATCCCAATGTTTATATTATGAATTAACTTCATCATACCTGATTAGATTGATGTGATTATTAAAACCTCTACTAAGGCTTTGAGCTGGTATTTGGTCTAACCATAGTACTGGTTGGTCTGGATCAGCTATCCTGCAAAGAGACACTGTATTAATCCCATTAAAAATTAGTTATATCAATTCAGATCTAATATGACATTTTTATTGCTTCTTTCCAACTACAGTATTGAACTAACTTCTCGAATGGTCTGGATGAGATTAAATTGGAGATGAAAAGTACTAAGAGTTTTGGGGGCTCTTATAGTTCATTACAGAGTTAAACAATAGCCGATTATGACTGTTTTTGGACAATACAACAACCTAACTATAAATCATGAATGAAACCCAAATGTCTCAGCCAGCTCCTCTCCATTGTCCCTCAATGTTTTGTTTAGGGTTTTTAATGAGGTTTTACCTTGACTTTCTCCCACCAGTAACAAAAGTGGAAAAAACTAAACCAAGCTGTGGGTGCAAGTAAACTGGCAACTAAATAAGTCCTGAAAATGCCAACATAGTCAGGAAAGAAAAGCACCGGCTGAGGGAGAAATCAGTTGGTCCAACTGGGTGCATTGATAACCATAACCTTGTTGTACTGCTCAGACAGTATTATCCTATAAGAATAGCCTTGCTGGAGCCAACCAGAGTCTATTTTAGTACAAATCCAGTTTTCCATAGTGACAACCAGTTACCTCTGGGAAGCCCACAATTATGAATATATTAATTCTCTATCTCTGCTCCCCAGAGATTGATTCTCAAAAACCCACTGCTTCTATTCCTAGAATAAGAAATAAATCTCTACAATGATTATTTTCTAAACTAAAAAGCTCTAAACTATGCAATCTTCCCCCAAGAATCTTAAAAGTCTCATTGTCCTTTAATTTGTCTCTTCTTTTCTGAATCTTTTCCAATTCTTTTTGAGGTGCACCAACCAGAACTAATGAAATAGAAACCACACAGAGATCAGATAAAGTAATTTTCTCAGGCTACTGTGTCTTTGCTTTTATGAAACCTAGGACTGCTTAGCTAGAATTTTTGATGGTGATAATTAGCAAAATCCATGAGTATCAATTTAATATATTTTAGGACTGTAGAAACTATTTGGAGCTTTGCAAAACATCTCTACATCTCTCAAAAGTTTGGTGAGGCCCATTTCTGGCCTTCTAAGAATATGTGTGCATACACAGAAGATGCTTCCACCGTGATTGCCACTTTGTTTCACCACAGCACCTTTCCAAATAGTTTGCACAGTCCTAATAGATGTTCTCCTTTATTACCGTCTCCATTTCACAGCAATGTCGAACATATCTCTCCATTGCATCAGCTTGGTTTTTCCATTCATCCGCACCTTTGAGTTTACCCAAGTTCGCTGTACAGCTTGCATTACTTCTAGCACCGCTAGCCCCATTGCTGAAGAACAAACAAAGTAGGCATAAGTTCAGCCCACTCACATTTATTCTCTTCATATATTGAATTGCACCATTTCTTGAATCTCAGGCCTGCTGTATTCAGTGAGGTTTACCTCCAGCTCAGATTGTAGTTTAAGAGAAACAATGAAATAAATGATAGCTGGTGTTGGATATCACTGGACATAGCTACCTCAGTAGATTTGATACATTAGAAATAACAGCTTGTAAATACTTGAGCATTTTTGCTTAATCTCTGAATGAACTGCACTACAAAGAAGGTATGTTTTATAGTTCTGTACTTTAAAATAGACAATTGTAATCATAGCAAGAGAAATGATATTCAGATTATATTTTCCTAGCTTACCTCTATGCATTCTCTTGTTTGGAAGAAATCCAACAGTCTCATATTGCATTAATGAACCCAAATGATTAGCTACACATATCATCTCTTGCACTGAGGACTTATAGTTTTCAAATTTCTGAAGCTGCACATCTCTAAAATTATGAAAATTATCAAAAATTATAATAAAGTTTATATTAATATTAAGAGGGTTTTTATGAAGTCATAAACAGATAGTAAATATTAAGTATTAAGCACATTAGAAATAAGGTATGATCATTGATTGTCAGCAAAGTAGGTTTTAAGGTAATTTTCTTGTTTATGAATATAGGTGGTCCTTACTTATCACTCATTCAGCAACTGTTTGAACTACAAAGGCGCTGAACGAGTGGTAGTTACGACCTATCTTCATACTTATGATGGTCGCAGCATCCCCGTAGTCATGTGATCGCGATCTGGGCACTCAGCAACTAGCTCGCAATTATGACATTGCAGCGTCCCACACCATTTGCAACCTTCACTGCCGGCTTCCAAGTAAAGTCAACGTAAAGTCAATGGGGAGGCCAGCAGGGGATAGCAAATGGCAACCACATCACATCGCACTTAATGACATCACATGATTCACTTAAGGACAGCAACTGGAAGTGTTGGAACTGCCATCACTAAGTGGTGTGGTCATGTGGCATCTTGCTTTACAACCATGTTGCTTTCTGAAGAAAATTCCAGTCCCAATTACCATCATTAAGTGAGGACTACTTGTACATTAATAATTAATTGTCTACCTAGACAATTCAATACTGTTTTCTGGGGCAGTTTATTTACTGATAGGATCTTGCTTAATCCTGCATATTAAAGAAGTTTCAACAGCTACACATTCTCCTTCTAGCAAGCATGCAAAACTCTCAATTTCCAAGTGCCATGTGGTTGGCCAATGGATAAGAAGCTACTTAAAAAACGGTCTCACAATTTCTGATTGAAATAACATCAGCTAGTTTTCCAAGACAGTTTCATCAGCGCGATATAGATAGGTAGACAGAGATGTAGATGCAGATGTAGATATATATACACACACATACAGTCATGTGAAAAAGTAAGTACACCTCACTGAAATTTTTGATTTTTTTTTCAACATATCCCAACATACAGATATTTGATCTTCATTTCAACAATACTAATAAATGGGGATAAAACAAATATCATGCACCATTTACATTTTGTCCTAATTTAAATAAACATAAATGCAAATTTTGCATGTGGAAAAAGTACGTACACCCCTATATTTATCAGTACCTCAAATACCTAAAATTAGATTCAAGTGCACCAGCTCAGGTGCAAATGATCAGAAATCATTAGAGATGATCTGGGAGGAACCTGTCTTATTTAAACTTTAGACATTTTAGCTTGATTTGCTCTTTGTTGTTGAAGTGTGTAGTATCACCATGCCTAGATCGAAATACTCTCTGAGGCTTTCAGAAAGAAGGCTGTAGATGTCTATGAATCTGTGAAGGGATTTAAAAAGATTGCCAAACAACTGGGCATCAGTCATTCCACTGTCCAGAAAATCATCTACAAGTGGAGATTTCAGACAACTACCAATTTGCCCAGGCCAGGCCATCCCAGCAAGTTCAGCCCGAGAGCAGAAGGAAAGATGCTGAAAGAAGTCTCTAAGAACCCCAGAATTTCATCATGTGACCTACAGATCGCTCTTGCTATTATTGATGTCAAAGTACATGAGTCTACCATTAGAAAGAAGCTGTGCAAATTAGATCTACATAGGAGGTGTGCCAAGAGGAAACCTTTGCTGCCAAGAAAGAACATCAGGGCAAGACTAAAGTTTGCTCATGAACAGTTAGGCAAAGACCAGGACTTCTGGAACAATGCACTGCAGACAGACAAAGATAGAATTATTTAGCCACAGTACCAAAAGACATGTTTGGCAAAAAACAAAGATAGCATTTCACTGGAAGAACCTGATACCAACTGTAAAACATGGTGGTGGAAATGTTATAGTTTGGAACTGCTTTGCTGCATCAGGGCCTGGCCAGCTCTCCATCACAGAATCCACTATGAATTCTTCACTGTAGCAGAGGATAATGTGAGACCATCTGTCAGAAGATTGAAGCTCAGCTGAAAGTTGACCTTGCAACATGACAAGGACCCTAAACATTCCAGTAAATTCACCAAGGAATGGCTAGGGGAAAAAAAGAAATGAAGGGTTCTGGAATGGCCAAATCTAACCCAACTTAAATCCAAGATGCTGTGGGGTGATTTGAAATGGGCTGTCCATGCAAGAAACCCCTCAAACATTGCACAGCTGAAGAAATTCTGCATGGAAGAATGGGAAAAAATTCCTCCCAGTCAATGTCTAAGCTGTAGATAGTTATAAGAAATGCCTACTTGAGGTTGTTTCTGCCAAAGGGGGCAATACCAGGCATTAATGCCAAGAGTGTACTTACTTTTTCCACAGAAGGAAATGCCATATTTGTTCATTATTTGTTGAATAAATGATTGCAAAATCAATTTTTCATAGTTTCATGTTTTGAATGTCTAAGGTTATTGACATAAAGGCCCATATTTTATTTTGGAAACAAAATATCACAGCTGCTATTGCTTTTGTAAAATTGTATTAAATTGAGCAAGACTGAAAAAAAAATTTTTTTTTAATTCTTCGCCCTACATTTTATGTGAAACAGAAAACCATGGATTTCTACAAGTTAAAAAAAAAACATGCATGAAGACATATGCCAGTTGCTCTAGATTAAACGTTTAAACATTTTCAGCATAGCATGCTAAGAAAATAGTACTTTAGTCACTCACTTTATATTTGGCTGTAGACCTGGCTGTTCTTCATAGTCTTCTATCAGGAAAGGAAGATTCTTGGCCCAGTGATCTTTAAATTTTTCAGGAAGATCTGTATCTATATTGTATTCTGTAACTGGGGTATCAAGATGTGCATGAAGATAGCGAGAATATTCTGTGAAGGAAATGAGATAAATTTTCTTTTTTCCCCCCTGCTAAATACCCCAAAACACCTCCAGATGAAATTCAGCTGATGTATTCTCCCCCCCAAAATGCAAAGCAATATTGTTCATACTCATCCTATTAATGTTTTTGTGCCATATTTGGAAATTTTTTCTCCAAACAATAGGACTGTTCTTTTTCAAAGTGGCAGACAGTTTTGTGCAGTTGGTAAGTGTCTACCTTCTTATGCACGTCATCTGGGGAGATCAGATGCTGTTGCTGGCTCTTCCCTTAAGAGGGACTTCAAAATGCACTTCTATAGCCAGGCTTTTTAAATGATGTCTTAGTTTCTTTTAATCTCTGTTAATAATTTCAATTGTCTTAAACTGTTTTATCTGCTTTGGGGGTTTTGTCAATCACTCCCTGCTGCTGGATTTATGCCAGTCTCTTGTTCTGAAGAAAAAAGATGGACAGCACTTACAGATATATGCTAGATATTTGGAAAGCCAATTGGATCTGTTCTACCCAAGGAGTGTTTCTCAGTAGTCAAGCCCCGTTTTTTCAGGCCAGCAAGATATTTAAATCATCTAACTTCCCAAACTCTGAAAACACTAAGATTAGCACATTTTAATGCCTTCCCAAAAGCTGTTCTCAAGGCAAATATAAGAAAGTTCTTTACAAGCTAAGACTGGCTTTTGTAAAGAAAACAAAAGCCTCCTGTAAGGACACAAGGGTCCATTTTATAACTCTTGATTTGGTGAAGTACCAGACAATTATTACCTATTTTATATTCAGCTATTGTATATAAAATAGATAATACTTCTGTCAGACCAGAAGTTTTCTTTTTCCATGAATGTGGCAAAGTTTTGTAATAGTCAACATTCCTTGATTGCCTCGAAGCTCCAGTTACAATTTTATGCATTTTATTTTACTTAAAATATAAATTGTTTAATTACTTGATAACTTACAGATTTCTGGTCAGTGACTGAAATAAAGAAGTAAACCAGCATAGAAATGAAATCACCTTCCTGGCCATTTTTCTAGTACTTCCTCCATTTGTGGGACCCTTTTACTTAGAAATTTGTACTGCTGCAACTATTACACCTTTTAACTTCAAAGACATATCTCAAAATCTTTCCCTCAACAAAATATCTCCTATTGCTAAACAGTGTCAAATTTATGTGTATACAGAAAATTGCACAAATCCAGCCTTTGTTAAAAAAATATGTTGCTTCTGTTGCTTCTACAAGAAGCAGCATATATTTACAGAAAATGCACACAGATTATCATTACAAGGGATACATTTGAAATGAAACACGCAGAGAATTCTGTTTGGCTATACTCTTTGTCCACTGTAGTCAAGAATAAAATTTGTCAAGGCAAAGTTATCCTTAAAAATAAGTAACACAACTAAGAAATATATTCAAGTCTAAACAGCTGTGTATAAGGGGATTTATAATAATCATATACAAACCTTGAGTTATATTTCTTATTTGTTCTGCAACAGCCAAGATATTGATGAAGACAGTACACAGTGTGATGCAATGAGAAATGAACAAATTTCTTTTGAAAAATTGTCCACAAAATGCAATGCTTCAGTATACAGAGATTTGTATAAAAACATTAATTATATTGTTATCAGCAACTTACCCCTGAGGTATTTCACTTTCAGATATTCTGTAGTGGCTGTTTGACCAGGCAAAGGATCATTTAGCATAACTTTAGTCTGAGCTTTGATTCCTTCATAAAATTGGCCCATGGCAACATGACTGAGACCTTTCATATACTGACATACTTCATTATATGGCTCTATTTGCAGACACCTCTAGAAAAGGGACAATAAATCCAAGATACGTGTAACAGATCAAATCAAACAACTACACTTTACTCTCAGATTTTTTTAAAAAGCTCTTTTTTTCCCAGACAGCTATTTCAACCAGGCCGTTTTCCTGTTTATCTTCACTGATTAAGTTTTCTATACATAACTGTAGATGGCTTGGCTCCAGGGTACCTTAAGGACCATCTCCTCCAGGTAGAATTTGTGTGGTCTATGCATGAAGGGAGGGAATGATGAGGGTCCCACCCCCACACAAAGTGAAAGGGAATATGGATACTCTGTTAAGGCCCCCGCACTCTGGAGCACTTGCCCCAGGAGGTGCATCTGACACACTCTTCATTAGCCTTCTGCAAAGAGGTCAAGTTGAGGCTGTTTGAGTGGGGATTTGGGAGTTGGGTTACACTCCCCAACTCCAGGCTGAGCCACAAATGGTGTAGAAATGCTGAATCAGTGCCTGGAGGCTGTCAGGGTCTGGATGAAATAAAACTAGCTTAGACTAAATCCTACCCAGACAGATTTAAATAAACATCTGGGCAATTTGGCGACACTGGCTCCAGTAGTTACTTGATGGGGTTGTGTTCCCCTTGAAAGAGGTGGTTTGTGACTCTGGGGTTCTCTTGGAATCACAGCTCCTGCTTAAATAGCAGGCTGAAGCCATGGCTAGAAAATCCCTTGCATAGTTCCAGCTGGTACACTACTTACAGCTCCAACTGGAGTAAGATGCCCTGGTGACAGTAACTCACACCTTAATCACTGCTTGGCTAGACTCCTGTGATGCATTCTATATGGAGATGCCTTTGCTGGAGCTAGTGCAGAATACAGCATCCAGATTGTTTACGAGTAAACCCGATATTGCAGGATAACACCAATGTTGTTTCTTATAATCCTTTGCAATTTTTCTAGAGAGAGAGGTTACAAACATACAGGACAGAACTTTTATAACATACTCCAATTTTGCCAGTGATTACCTTAAAGTTCTTCAAGGCTTCATCCAAGTTTCCATGATGATAAAACATATTTCCCTTAAGTTGTATCGTCTGAACATGATTTTGATTAAGCATCAATGCCTTCTGAAAATTTTCCATTGCAGCTTCAAAGTTACCAAGTTCTCTAATGTTTTTTATCAAATGATAAGATTAAAAAGCAACAGTAAATTAGTACTTTCATTTAGTAAAGTTTTAAAATGAGATTTATTAACATAGGACTTAAAATAATCAATATCATATTAGATAATTCATTCAGGCTGCAAATCTATGTAGTTACCTAAGAGTAATTCCCACTTAATTCAATAGTGTTTACTTTGAATGGAATATCATACTATACTGTCAATTAAATATAAGTATATTGAAAACAAATAATCCAACAAGAAAATTATTTAAAAATATAAACTATATGGATATTATTTTGTAATCTTAATGAATCTCCACTTTCCCTTTAAATTATTAAAGGTAAGTTACAGCCTCATGACATAAGATTTGATAGAAAAACTACTGTAATATTTGAGACATCTAGCAAGCCAGTACAATGCACCTCTGCTCAAAAACGTTCCTTTCTTGCTTTATTATATTATATTTTCTTTGCACTATGCACATGTAATGGAGACACATTAAAGTTAAGAGAATTTTGAAGCTGCTTACCGATAAGCCTGGCCCAGACTTTTATAGGCATCTATGAAATCTGATTTCTGCTTCAGAGCTTCTTTAAATATTTCAATAGCTTCCTGTGAAAAGCATAACACTGAACTATTTCTATTTATTAAACTTACTTCTATTCACCTTTCAGAATGAGTACATACCTATTTGATGAAAAGCCTGAACATTGGCTTGCCCACAGGAATTATTAGGAAGGTTATAATTCCTGCTATATACTACATTTGAATTAGTTTTAATATAAAGCAAGAAATTTCAAAATGTGTGCAAACCATATCAAGCAAGCACTATAATACATATTGCAAGACTAGTATCTATCATGTAGTCTAGCAACCACACGGTAAGCTTAACAAACAATTAAAATTAGAAAGGAGAGCATAGTCTAAGTGATAATAAGATCTCCCTACAGATTTCTAAATTTATCTGTCAGAAATACTTTAATGATGTACCTCAAACACAAAAATAGGGATGAGAACTTAGTCTTTTTTTAAAAAATGGTACAATAAATCTCAGGCACAAATTAAAATAATTACTAAAATTTCAGATGCCTTCCAGTTTCATTCCCAACCATGCTGCAACTAATATAGTTAAATATAAAGCAGGGCAGCCTGGACTAATGAAGGCCTTTTTAAGTTCACTGAATACAATGAAAGAATGTAAAGTAGCATGCCTTTAATTAGCCTGTTCAATTACAGAAATTTCAGTGGTTTGTAAAGAGGAAAGATACTGATGACATTTCAATAAATCAGTCAATAGAGGATCAAAATAGAAATAAAAGTCTAGACTGAGTTAAGTCGCAAATGAAAAAAACAAGCAATATTAAAATATTCCTATAAATGCTAACAAACATTCCTTTAACCTCAGATGAACTTACTTACTTACTTACTTATTTATTAATTAAATTTGTATGCCACCCATCTCCCCAATGGGTGACTCTGGGCGGGTCACAATTAAAACCATTTGCAAAGATGGATATAGATAGTAATTTGGTATTAAACACTAGACAAGAGACATAGCTCAAAATCAGAATATATGCTTGCAAACATGAGGTTCCAGGTTCAACCCTACGATTTCTAAGACAGATGAACTCAAGGAACATTAGGAAAATATTTAGAAGAAACAAGGGTTGAGTTGATACAAACACTAAGTCATTGTTGATGTTCACTATGACGTGTTGAAAAAGTTATTGTATTCTGGTTCATATGTAGTTAGTTATAAGGCAAAGCCAAGTAAGCCAAGTTATGGCTTGGCAATGATAAGCAAACCCAGCTACTGACTTTTGGAAAAAACAACAATGGGCTAAATTAAGTACTGGTATGACTACATATCAAAAAACACTTCTCTCTCTCTATTTCTACCCCACCCATTCCCAATCAAACCCATCTGAAGTGGCATAATTGCAACTTTATGCATTTGTGAAAACTTAGGATAGGAATTCTATACCTTTAGAAGCCCTCTGTGAAAAAAGGATAAACCTTTGTAAAGCATAACAATGGGCTGGTTTCTGTTTAGCTCAAGAGAGTTCTGAAAATCTTCATGGGCTGTTGCATAGTCCTATTGCAGAAAAATAGCTTTCATTGGACAGAGAAAAACGCTGGAACCAATCCAAAATAGATCATGTAATACTCATATAATGACTTGCACAATATTATTAATTCTTAAAACAGAAGCACAACTACCAACTGCACACCAACCTAGGCAAAATTAAACTACATTTTCTTAATCATAAGATCCATTGAATTCAGTAAGGCTTACTTCCAAGTAAAAATCAGTGGAATGTAGCAGGAACTGCTTGTGAAAAAGCATGCATGAGAATAGATTGTCCAACTTAATCCAATAAATGGGCTCAGGAAAAAAAAAATAACTATCCACTCTTATAGCAATTACACTAATAACAAAGACATTTTGTGGGAATGACCTCACCTGTAAGTAAACTTTTGAAATAATAATACCGAGACCTAATTCATCAAGTTTTTTTTTTACCCAGAAACTAATATATGTTTTCTTTGTATATAAAAATATAAGTAGACTTGAACGTTTTAATAAAGAGGCAGAATATAAATGCCTTAAATAACCAAATAACTAAAATAGCATTTTTTTAAAAGATGCCATAGGATTAAGCATTTTTTCCTATACATTTCCTGCAGAAAGAGGGACTGGGTTGATCCTCCTAGCCTTCCTAACCCCATTTTTACAAGCAGGCTCCTGTGGAGCCTCCATGAGCTAGTTTCATTGGAAGAAGTGGGTCATGGAAGGCAGGAGGAGTGGAAGAGCTGTCCTACTTCTTGAACAATGTCTACTAATATTATGCATATCATAATATTGTTAATGTCTGGTTGTAGCAATAACTTTATACCAGGATGACAATGATAATTCAAGCAGGGGCATCTGGGGGAGGCAGGTCAAATAAATAAAGATGGTAGCTGCAGTTGCAGACCCCACAGAGGCCCCTGCATTCAAGAGGGTTCAATCCAAAAATACACTGAGCTTAAGTAAACTTTTCTTACACGTCTGGTGGTTGTGCTCTTTCTTTTTCTTGATGCTTATTGCTCAATATTGAAGTCACTAGAAGGGACTGAAATCTTACCTCAGAAATGAAGTAAAGAATACCTCTGTGGTAATAAAGTTGTGCTGAAGGTTTCAGCTGAATAGCTTTAGTGACATCAGCCAGTGCTTCACTAATTCGACCCAGGGATGACAGTATCTATAAATCCAAAATAACACCTTAGCCTAGCAAGGAATGGTAGTTAGACTTAATCAAGAAGTACCTTTCTGGACACTGAAAAATGGAGCCAACAAGAAATAGCTAATGCCATCTCTTCTAGCTAGAAGGCAGGGCTTAAGACTTCCTTCTGACCCATAGAGGAACCTCCTCCCTTCAGTCTATAGCCTTGCCAAGAAAAACTAGTAGATTATCTCTAGGTTCCATCTTAAGGGTGAGAACAAACACCCAAAAAAAGGGAAGAAAAAAGAAATGAGATTTGAAAGAGCCAGCATTACAAATAGCAGGTGATCAAATGAAGCAACTCTGGCAATCACCATCTCACTATTCAGCTTGCCAAAAACAGGCCCCAGCCAAGAGGCCATGTGATATTGGAAGATCACTCACCTGGGGATGGAGATAGGCCAGATACCTGAACAAAATGTTGGAGGTTATACAAGCCCTGACTGAGCAGGGCAGACACAAGCTACTCTGGCAATGCCAACGCTGAACTCTTTCATGGGGAACCGAGACTGTTCCAGATCAAATGGCAAGAGAGGGGAGCCAATCACTCTTACTTTCAGAAAACCATCAAGTAAATCCTGCTTTTCTCCATCCTCCACCTATTTGCAATCTGAAGCAAACCCACAAAGCAGCAGCACTGCAGTAGTGGCATGGCAGTGCCTGTGGCTCAAGCACTGGGAGGTAGACCACAAATCAAGAGCCAATCTCACAGCAAAACCTGGCAGAGACCACACTTCAATCCTTTTTTGGGCAGGATACAGGAAAACAACCACAGGAGTTCCCAGGTCCACCAATGCAAATGTGATTCCCCCATGGCACAGAAGGCAAAAACCAAGCAAATGTCTTTCAAATTGACACAACCACCTCCCAGGTGAGGGAGTGATTGCAAAAATTCTGGCATGCTTGTGAGCACACATGCAGGGACAAATAGTGCAGGTGATAGTCCAGTAGATAAATAATAAAATCATGGAGTTAGAAAAGGCATTAGAGGTCACTAGTCCAATCCTTTGCTCTGTGCAGGATCCACTAGAACATCTCTGATAGATGACCATCCAGACTCTGAAGATTTCTAGTGAAGGAGAACTCACTACTTAATGTGGTAACCGGACGCACTGGCTGACAGTTTGTATAGCCAGGAAGTTCCTCCTGATGTCTAGCCTGAACTTCCTTCCTTGTAGTTAGTTTTAACTTGGTGGTTCTGGTCCATTCCCTTTTCTGTGTGACATTTCATGTATATGAAGACTGCTATCATGTTCTCCCCTCGGTCATTTTTTCTGCAGGCTAGATATATTTATTGTATTTAATAACTGTATTTTATATTTGTATTATTTATGTTTTTACTGATTTTAAA